TGATATTATTTCTTCAAGACGACTTAACTCTATAAAAATCATGTTAACTATCTATTTTAATGAGTTGTTTTATCGCTATTGTTTTATAAATGATGTTTTTTCATCATCTACTTGGTCTGTTGCTATAATATTATCCTTTTCAATATCTAGTTCGTTAAGTTTGTATACGCGACTCTCTCGTGAAATGTTTCAAGTCCGCTTTCGATATACCAACAATCAACCAAGATTATGAAGCAATTCTGGTAACCGTATCGACGTGTCTGGTATTGCTAGTGAGGAGATTTAGCTAGCCGAAGAAAGCTCGCGAACCTGCAGTTTGATTTAATATAATAAATAAGAAAGCAACAAACCAATTAATTTAAAATTAAAAAAAAAAAATTATACCTGTGTACCGGTCATATCAATAATTATGATCGGTTGGACCGATGGGCTTAAATCAATTTCGTCGATAATTTCATCTGCAGTCTTGTAAGCGATTTAGCCTTAACAGATTTTTTCCATGCATTACTTTTTTTTTTTTTTGACCGGTTTGACACTAATTTCCTCTTCATCCTCAACTAAACCTTGTCTAATAATAAGCGAACAAAATATGATTAGATGCAATTATTTGAAAGATAAATAAAGTTACTTAACACTTGCCTTTTTTCTGTCACTTTAGCTTGTTTCGTTTTTTCTTTAAATCCTTGAATGCTAATCCCATCGCAATTGCGACTCAATTGAGTTAACAATACCGCTTTTATCTGAACCCAAACCTTCACCATAAAAAAAATAATATTATATTAGCTTTATTGAACAAAGATTCAGCCAATATATAATTAATTTAATTTTCCACTTACTATTTTGTAACCATATTTTCATCATTAATTCAAACCAATTCCTTTTGTATGCTTCTCAAAGCTTCCAAAATTTTTATCAACTGGTTTCTTGATACATGTCCTTCAAATATTTTCTTCCACGACATTATTGGAATTATCAGTAATAGAATCATTAGATATTTTTGTTACGTTGTTGCATTATTTTTTTTTTGCTTCTACCTCCTCTCCACTTGAATGATCTGTATCTGCATAGTCGACCGTTTCAACATCCTCGACTGTGACTGATCTCGAAGTTGTACGTCTCTATAAAAGAATAAATAATGTTAAAAGGAAATTATGGTAACAAATTATTTTTTACTTTATCTTACGATTTGACCGATTAGATCGATAAGCTTCATCGGATTCTGCCCAGATTTCAAGGTATGCATTTTCCCTTGTGAATTTGCGGCGTTTATGTCGGAGTGAAAGATCTATAAAAATTAATAAATACGTCGAAACAAAAAGAAATGAAACCATTGAAGTTCAATTCAATTTATCTTACTTTCAAATAATTCTCTTTTTTCTAAAAAAAAAAAAAAAAAAAGAGCGTCCGAACTTTCAAACTCCTCTTTCTCATTTTCTGACGAGAAACACGACCCGTCGTTGAATATCTTTATCCTTTCTGTGACGAGGCATTTTGTTATGATCTATTTATATATTTTGGTTGGCGTAAATCCTATTTGTCACGTACTTATTCGTCACCGATTTGGGGTAGGATAACATAGTTACAAATAACTTACTTAAATTGTATGAAGTTGTTGGAAAAGTAAATAAGTGCCTAACATGATTATTATT